GAAAAGACAGTCTTGAATTGTTGACACCACCCCTTCCCCATCCACCAGCAGTGGCCACGTGGCATAGAGAATCGTGCACTTAGCGGAGGGAGAGCACAGCAACTGGGGGACTTTACGCTGGAACTCAGCGCTGCCAACACGTGGCAGAACTCAGCCTGCGCCCACAGAGGGAGCATTTTATAAAGCCCTAGCAAGAGGGTATTCACCCATCCCAGCAGTTGCAACTGAGTCTTGGCTAGCCTCACAACCACAGGCTAAACTGCTCTGTGATCCTAAATAAACTTGGTAGGCTGTCTAGGCCACAAGGACTGCACCTTCTAGGTACATTGTGGAGCTATACTGGGATTGCAGCCAGTGGATTTAAGGGACACATGACCAAGTCAGAGAGCAGCTGGTGCAGCTAAGGGAGTGCTTGCATCACCCCTGCCCCAACCCCAGGAGGTAGCATAGCTTGCAGGTCCAAAGAGATCCTTCCTTCTGTTTGAAGGAAAAGAGAGAAGGAAAAGTGAAAGGACTTTGCCTTACCAACTTGGATACCAGCTCAGGCAGGTCCAAAAGAGATCCCTTCCTTCTGTTTGAGGAAAAGAGAATGAAAAGTGAAGAGGACTTTGCCTTGCAACTTGGATACCAGCTCAGCCACAGCAGGACTGGGTACTGGGTATCAGTCATGAGGCCCCCTTTCCAGGCCCTGGCTCCTGGACAACATTTCTAGACACACCCTGGTCCAGAAGGGAACCCACTGCCTTGAAAGGAAGGACTCAGTCCTGGCAAGATTAATTACCTGCTGACTAAAGAGCTCTTGGAGCCTGAATAATCAGTAGTGGTAACCAAGTAGTACATGCTGTGGGCCTTGCGTGAGACTCTGAGAGGGGCTGGCTTCAGGCGTGACCCAGCTTATTCACAGCTGTGATGGCTACAGTGAGAAACTCCTTCTGCCTGAGAAAAGGAGAGGGAAGTATATAGGGGACTTTGTCTTGCAGCTTAGGTACCAGCTCGACTACAGTGAGGAAGAGCACCAAGTGGGCTCGTGGGGTCCCCATTTCCAGACCTTGGCTTGTGGATGGTATATCTAGCCCAGGGATGGACCTGCCCTGGGGTAGAGGGGAGTCCAATGCCCTAAAGGGTGAGTCCCAGGACTGGTAGCATTAACCACAAGCTGACTAAAGAGCCCTTGAGCATTAAGGGAACATTGGCGGTACTGTGGCAGTACTCCCTGTGGGCACATGGTGGTGGTGGACATAGGGGGAGGCCCTTCTGCCTGGGGAAAAGGGAGGGAAGAGTGGGAAAGACTTAATCTTGTGGTTTCAGTGCCAGTATAGCTGCAGTAGAATAGAGCCACCAGGTATATTTCTAAGGTTTCTGAATCTAGTCCCTGGGTCCTGGACATTATCTCTGGACCCACCTGGGGCTCAGGGGAACTTGCCACCCCGAAGGGAAGGACACAAGACTGGCTGGCTTCACTACTTGTTGATTGTAGAGCCCTGGAGACTTCAGCAAATATAGGAGGCAGCCAGGTAGTGGTTACAGCAGGCCGTAGGTAAGACTCAGTACTATGCTTGCCTCAGGTTTGACCCAGCCCAGTTTCAGTAGTGGTGGCCACAGCGGTGCTTATGTCACCCCTCATCTAGCTTTGGGAAGCTCAGCACAGAGGGAGAGACTCTGGGAGAAAGTAAGGGAAGAGAGCAAGAGTCTTTGTTTGGTAATCCAGATAATTTTTCTGGATCTTATTCAAGACCACCAAGATGGTACCTCTATGAGTCTGCAAGAACTACAGTGTTACTGGGCTTGGGGTGCCCTTAATGTAGATATGGCTGCAGTGACCAAAAACTTAGATTACAACACCCAAGTCCCTTCAAATACCTGGAAAGCCTTTTCAAGGTGGAGGTGTACAAACTAGCCCAAACTGTGAAGACAACAATAAATACCCAACTCTTTCATGCCAAGACAGCAAGGAACATACACAAGCATCAAGATCACTTTGGAAAACACAACCTCACCAAATAAACTAAATAAGGTAGCTGGTGCCAATCCCAGAGAGACAGAGATATGTGATGTTTCAGACAGAGAATTCAAAATAGCTGTTTTGAGAAAACTCAAAGAAATTCAAGCTAACACAGAAAAGGGATTCAGAATCCTATCAGGCAAACTTAATAAAGAAATTGAAATAATTAAGTAGAATCCAGCAGAAATTCAGGAGTTGAAAAATGCAATTGACATACTGAAGAGTCTCCTAGTAGTAGAGTTGATCAAACAGAAGAAAGAATAAGTGAACTTGAAGACAGGTTACATGAAAATATACAGTCAGAGAGGACAAAAGAAAGAAGAACAAAAAAGAAGGAAGCACACCTACAAGACCTAGAAAATAGCCTCAAAAGTGCACATCTAAGAGGTATTGGCCTTAAAGAAAAGCTAGAGAGAGAGAGACAGGGGTAGAAAGTTTATCCAAAGGGGGCAGGCACGGTGGTTCACGTCTGTGATCCCAGCACTTTGGGAGGCTGAGGCAGGTGGATCAGGTCAGGAGTTCAAGACCAGCCTGGCAAACATGGCAAAACCCTGTCTCAACTAAAACTACAAAAATTAGCCAGTCATGGTGGCAGCTGCCTGTAATCCCAGCTACTCAGGAGGCTGAGGCAGGAGAATCACTTGAACCTGACAGATGGAGGTTGCAGTGAGCCGAGATTGCACCACTGCACTCCAGCCTGGGCGACAGTGACTTCATCTCAAAAAACAAAACAAAACAAAAGAGAGAGAGAGAGAGAGAGAAAGCTTATCCAAAGGGATAATAACAGAGAACTTTCCAAAACTAGGGAAACATACTATTATCCAAGTACAAGAAGATTATAGAACATCAAGCAGATTTAACTCAAAGAAGATTACCTCAAGGCACTTAAAATCAAACTCTATGATTAAGAGACATAACTTAAAGTAATAAAAGCCTTCTATGACAAGCTCATAGCCAACATTATACTGAACAGGGAAAAGTTGAAAGCATTCCCCCTGAGAACTGGAATAAAACAAGGATGTCCACTTTCACCACTTCTGTTCAACATAGTACTGGAAGTCCTAGTCAGAGCAATCAGACAAGAGAAAGAAATAAAGGGCATCCAAACTGGTAAAGACGAAGTCAAACTGTTGCTGTTTGCTGATGATATGATCATATACCTAGAAAACCCTAAAGACCCATCCAAAAAGCTCCTAGAACTGGTAAAAGAATTCAGTAAAGTTTCAAGATACAAAATTAATGTCCAAAATCGGTAGCTCTGCTATACACCAACAGCAACCAAGCTGAGAATCAAATCAACAACTCAACCCCTTTTACAATAGCTATAAAAATTAAATACATAAATACAATAAGGTACTTAAGAATATACCTAACCAAAGAGGTGAAAAACCTCTACAAGGAAAACTACAAAACACTGCTGAAAGAAATCATAGACGACACAAACAAATGGAAACACATCCCATGCTCATGTATGGCCAGAATCAATATTGTGAAAATGATCATACTGCCAAAAGCAATCAACAAACTCAGTGCAATTCCCATCAAAATACTACCATTATTTTTCACAGAACTAGGAAAAACAATTCTAAAATTCATATGGAACCAAAAAAGAGCCCACATAGCCAAAGCAAGACTAAGCAAAAACAAGAAATCTAGAGGCATCACATTACCCAACTTCAAACTATATACAAAGCCATAGTCACCAAAACAGCATAGTGCTGGTATAAAAATAGGCACATAGACCAACAGAACAGAATAGAAACCCAGAAATAAAACCAAATACTTGTAGCCAACTGATCTTCAGCAAAGCAAACAAAAACATAAAGTGGGGAAAGGAAACCCTTTTCTGCAAATGATGCTGGGATAATTGGTGACCCACATGCAGAATTAAACTGGATCCTCATCTCTCACCTTATACAAAAATCAACTCAAGTGCATCGAAGACTTAAATCTAAGACCTGAAACCATGAAAATTGTACAAGATAACACCGGAAAAAACCTAGATATTGGCTTAGGCAAAGACTTCGTGACCAAGAACCCAAAAGCAAATGTAACAGAAACAAAGAAAAATAGACGAGACTTAATTAAACTAAAAAGCTTCTGCACAGCAAAAGAAATGATCAGCAGAGTTAACAGACAACCCACTGAGTAGGAGAAAATCTTCACAATCTATACATCCGACAAAGGACTAATATCAAGAATCTACAAAGAACTCAAATCAGCAAGAAAAAAAAAACCCATTGAAAAGTGGGCTTAGGACATGAATAGACAACTCTCAAAAGAATATATGCAAATGGCCAACAAACATATGGAAAAAATGCTCAACATGGCTAATTTTCAGGAAAATGTAAATCAAAACTACAATGCGATTCCACCTTACTCCGGCAAGAATGACCATAATCAAAAAAACAAAAAATAACAGATGTTGGCATGGATGTAGTGAAAAGGGAACACTTTCACACTGTTAGTAGAAATGTAAACTAGTACAACCATTGTGGAAAACAGTGTGGAGATTCTTTAAAGAACTAAAAGTAGATCTACGATTTGATCCAGCAAGCTTACTACTAGGAAAAGCAATACCCACAGAAAAATAAGTCATTATACAAAAAAGATTCTTGCACATGCATATTTATAGCAGCATAATTTGTAATTGCATAAATATAGAACCAGCCTAAATGCCCATCAATCAACAAGAGAATAAATAAAATGGTGCACACACACACACACACACACACACACCATGGAAGAGTACTCAGCCATAAAAAGGAGCAAATAATGGTATTCACAGCAACCTGGATGGAACTGGAGACTACTATTCTAAGTAATGTAACTCAGGAATGGAAAACCAAATGTTGTATGTTCTCACCCATAAGTGGAAGCTAAGCTATGAGGACACAAAGGCGTAAGAATGATACACAGGACTTTGGGGATTCAGGGGAAAGGGTAGGAGGGGGTGAGGGATTAAAGACATTGGGTACAGGGTACACTGCTTGTTCACCTTCGAAGACACTTTCGCTGTAGTTCAGAGTCCTTTTCCATTCTATTTTAGTAGACCAACAGCGAAGGAAGACACCTACTAAATAGCGAAGGAAGACACCTTCGCTGTAGTTCAGACTCCTTTTCCATTCTTTATCCACGCGCGGGGGAGTCGCGCGCCGCGGTCGCCCGGCGGGTAGGAACTACCATCCCAGCATCCTACGCGGCGCAGGGAAGGAAGCCCGGGAATGAGAGAAAGCGGCTCTGAGGGGATAGCGGGCCAGTGAGGGCCGCCCGTGTTTTGAAGCGGTTTTCGTCTCTTTCCGCTGGTGGCCTCGGAGCTCACGCTGGGGCGGGTACCGGTAGCGCGAGGCGGTGCAGGGCGGGAAGGGGAGTCGTGGCGGCTGCGGCGGCGGGGACAGCAGCGACGGCGGCGGCAGGGACAGCAGGAGCAGTGGTGCTGTCAGCACGGCCGTCGGAGACATGGGAGACCCGGGGTCGGAGGTGAGTAGTCGAGTGAGGGCCCTGGCGTTCTCAGAGGCGAACCGCGAAGGGTTTGTGTTTTCTGCGGTCTGAGGCCTGGTGCTCCATCGCAGCCTCTGGGCGATACCTCTTCAGTGTCTTGGGCCGAGCCCAGCTCTGAGGCCTGGTGCGTGTCTGAGCGAGGAACCCGCAGCAACAATGGCCGCCCGTCCCCCCGCACGGGGCCCGGCGTTCGTTGTGGCCCCTGCTGGGCCAGTGGGAGCGACGTGTTAAGGCAGGATTGCCCTTCGGTGTTGAGCTTGCGTTCCTTCTTCTGGAGTAGATAAGGGGAATTCCAGAGTCCTCCTTCTGGAGTAGATAAGGGGAATTCTGAGAGGCTGGTACTGCGTTTTCAGCGTTGGGTCCCTGCAGCTCCGCACATGCTGTGGCAAGAGCCGACTGCTCGAGTTCTGTTCCTGGTCGGGTTTGCGTGAAATTGTGCTCAGTTCGTTTTCCTCAAGAGCTCTTTGTTTTTAATTGTTCCTTTCGGAAACGCTCTCTTCCTACAAGAATGTGGCTGAACAGATAAGTATGTTTTGGCTTGTTTTTATAGATAATAGAATCTGTCCCTCCAGCTGGCCCTGAGGCATCTGAGTCAACAACGGATGAAAATGAAGACGACATTCAGTTTGTCAGTGTAAGTAGCAACTGATGATTGCGTTTTTCCCAGAGTAAAAGACTATGGTGGGCCCTTATATAATTTTACCTCACCTAGTCATTTAATGTTTATGAGTGTCTAATACATACTAGACACTGTGGAGCATGGCACAGGATTGGGATCTTTACCAAAAGAGCTGTCTGAGCCACCCCCGTTACCATCACAAAGAGCATGGCCTAAAGAACGTGCTGTACACTTAATCTCACCCCCTGCCTTTCATTTAGACTTAAGATAAAACGCTGGTCTCTAAGAAGCTGTTTTGAAATGGAGCAAGAGTAACTTCTAAAGGTGACACGGAGGAAGGAGCAGCTAATGATGAGCAAGGTCGTAGAAAACAGGAAGGGTTGCGAGAGCCCAGAATCTTAGCGTTATGGTGCTTCTAACATGAAGGCAAATAGCTTGAAGATTTCGCTAACCTCTGAGATCATCATGTTACAGCATAGTACAGTTGATGCTCATAATGAAGAATCCTGCATCACTGGGAACATACTCTATTTTTCTGAGTTTCTTCCGTTTGGGACAGTAGTTTTCAAGCCTTAGTAAGTATAGACAGGCAGATTCCTGGGCCCCGCTGCAGACCTACCGAATCAGAATTTCAAGGTGGGGCCTAGGAATTCTCATTTTCAGACAAGTGCAGGGACATGTGGATGGATTTCTGAGCACACTTTGTACAGCATTGGTTTCCAAAGCAGAAGGGGGTGTTTTATGATGTATTTTGGGATGATTTTCATCCATAGTTATTGGAGTTTTAGAAAGGCTTTGTGTAAAGTGGTATCTCAGCTAGCTAGACAGAAAATAGTTGTGTCCCAAACTCCTCTTTTGGAATGCCGTAGTTAGTTGCAGTTTGGTATTCAAGCTGTAGAAGTTTTCTTTAATGGAGTGTCTAATGTTTCTGTGTTTTTTAGTTTTTGTAGGTTTAGGGTGACTTTGTAAGTCACTTGTTTTTCAAATTAAAATTTCCTCCCTAAACATTGTTTTGTTAACATCGTTGTTTTCGTTTTGTGTAGAAGTTCTTTACACGGTCACTTTCTGGACATTTTTCCCAATTAATATTGTGTGTATATTTTGTTCCTGACATTTGGGAACCTTTCTAAATATTGATAGTACCAAGGGGGATTATTTGCCTACTCTGCCTTCACGGTTATGGAGTAAGCAACGTAACTCGAAATCGAAGAGCAGTGGTTTTTGTTTTTTTAATGAGAAACATTTGGGAAGAGGATTTCATGGGTCTTTAGGAAAAATAATTTTGGTTCCTCTTAACTGGTATGAAAACAGGAATAATTGGGACAGATGATCTTGATGAGTTTTTGTGCATCTGTATGTAGAAGTGACACTCGTCTGATTCATGATCCATGTATCGTTGAGAAACACAGATGGGCTGTACAAAATTAAGTTTGGAAAAGTAAATAGGTATAGATTTGTGTAATATCCTGAGGAACAAATCACTATATTTTAAATTCTGAGTTAATATATAGGCTGTGTTTAGCTGAGGTTTAAATTACTTTAAATTTTATTTTAAATATAAATATTCTTCTACATCATTTCATAAAATATTTTGTGTATCCAGCATGATAGAACCCTTTATATTTAACCCTGTTCAAAATAGAGGATCAAAGGTTTGACAGCTCTTATATGGAAAAGTGACTTACATGCTGTCAGTGTAATTGCAGTACCAGAAAGAACATAGTAAAACATCCCTGTTGCATTTCAGTGGTGCCACGTAAAAGACAATAACTTAATTCTACTTTAAAATGCACTCAGAGACCACTTTCCTTTGTAACCCCATCCTATACTGGGCTCTACCAGGATATGCTTATTTCTCTGTGTTTTTTATAGTACCATCCAGTAAAGATGCAATGCTGCTGGGTATAGTTCTCTATTTGTGGGTTCTTCATATTAAAAGAAAAAAAATTTTGTTACTTCTTGATATATTCTGCTTTGGATTCCTTAGTCTTTTCATATAAATGTTGATTATCCAGGCTTCATTCTGCGTTGTGGCACAGAATCCTCTTTGTGTTCTGTCATGTACCTAGCCTCCAAAATAAACAATATGCTGAAAGAAAGGAATGATGAAAGATATGGGGATATAAAAAGAGCCCTTACCTTGATGTAAATTTTATTGAAATATAGTACATATACAGGGAAGTTTACTTCCTCCTTGCCATCGCTATTTTTGTACCACATTGCCATTTGTCTAGATTGATTATCTTGTTTGTATTCTTCCCACATACTCTCCTATGTGGTTAACCTTCTTGCAACAGCTCTAATAATGTTCCCATCTTGATGTTATTTATTGATTCCTTTGCCTATAGAATAAAATCTAGACTTTTGACTAGGGCATTTATGGCCTGGTCTATGATGAGGGTAGTGTATATGTAAAGAAAGGATCAAGAAGATTCAGAGTTTGATGTTTGGCTGTATAGTGATGTGGAGGATAAAGCAGGGTTATCAAAGACCTTCGTTATTTTGAACTTAGCTATCTAAGAGATTACTGATAATCGTTTCAGTTAAAAAAAAATTGTACTATGAAATCTATATCTTTTTTTTTTAATGAGGTAGAGCCAGGGGTGGGTTTTTCACTGTGTTGCCCAGGCTGGAGTTGAACTCCTGGGCTCAAGTGATCCTCCTGCCTCAGCCTCCTGAGCAGCTGAGACTGGCACTGTGCCTAGCTGAAATCTGTATCTTTTTAAATCAATGTCTGTGCTATTTCCCATTTTGAAAGGAATCTACATGCAGGAACATTATTACATGTTAATGTACTCTGACTCTTTTCCCGTGCTTTTTTTTTTTTTTTTTTTTTTTTTGAGACAGTGTCTTGCTCTAAATTTTATCTAGGCTGGAATGTGATGGTATAATTATAGCTCACTGTAGCCCCACCTTCCTGGACTCCAGTGATCCTCTCACCTCAGCCTCCCAAGTAGCTGGGATTACAGGTGTGAGCCACCACACCCATCTGATTTTTTATTTTTGTAGAGTTGGGGTCTCACTATGTTGCCCGGGCTGGTCTTGAACTTCTGAGTTCAAGTGATCCTCCTGCCTTGGCCTCCCAGTGTGCTAGGATTACAAGTATGAGCCACCGCTCCCAGCCCCTTTGCCCCTTTTGTTTCTAATTAGTCTGTGCCACTTGCAAGATTTTCTTGAGAATCTTTGCCAACTCCAACTAAAAAAATCTCCCACTAGTTGTTAAATTTAAGTTTAATTTGAATGATTGTTCATGACTTGTAAATTTGCCCACTTCCTAAAAGGAAGGACCATAGAGACCTGTTCTTGAATACATCGATCTGGTCTGTGGTGATAATGAAAACCCTAGCACCTATTATAGTGATGTAAGCACATTATATTTGTGTTTGTTCAGTTTTCTTGTTAAGTGCAGTAGTGTGTTGGAGGTGGCTTGAACTGGATCATAAGAACTAATTGTTGGCCAGGCATGGTGGCTCTTGCCTGTAATCCCAGCACTATGGGAGGCTGAGGCGGTTGGACCACTTGAGGCCAGGAGTTCGAGACCAGCCTGGCCAACAAGGTGAAACCGCCGTCTCTACTAAAAATACAAAAAATTAGCCAGGCATGGTGGCGTGTGCCTGTAATCCCTGCTACTTGGGAGGCTGAGGCAGGAGAATAGCTTGAACCTGGGAGGTGAAGGTTGCAGTGAACTGAGATTGTGCTATTGCACTCCACCCTGGGCAACAGAGCAAGACTCCGTCTCAAAAAAAAAAAAAAATCTAGTTGTTAAACTTTCAGAAATTTTGTGAGCTGATTGTAAACAGAGCAGTTATTACAAATTAAAATATATAAATGTACAAGTACATAAATGTTCATTATATTTAACGTAATACTTAATACATCATTTCTTGCTATCTGTGCACTTGAGGTTATTTGCATCTATTGGTAGAAAAACTATTAATAAATAGTGTCCTGCTGCAGTATTGGTAGAACATTACCCCACTGTAATCAGTAAAATACAAACTAGAGTTTGTGTTGTTATTTGTTGATTAAATTTAAGAAAGTGAAGGATAGAATGTTAATGCAGATTAAATTTTAAAGTGTGATGTGTCTCTGCTAGACTAAATGCGATACAAAAAATTGAGGAAGTTGCTTTGCAATATTCCAAAACTCAGCCAGGCGTGGTGGCTCACACCTGTAATCCCAGCACTTTGGGAGGCCAAGGCTGGCAGATCACTTGAGGTCAGGAGTTCGAGACCAGCCTGCCCAATATAGTGAAACCTCATCTCTACCAAAGATACAAAAATTAGCCGGGCATGGTGGTGCATGCCTATAGTCCCAACTAATCAGCTGGTGTGGTGGCGTGTGCCTATAATTTCAGCTACTCGGGAGGCAGAGACATGAGAATTGCTTGAATCCGGGAGGTGGAGGTTACAGTGTGCTGAGATCACACCACTGCACTCCAGCTTGGGTGACAGAGCAAGACTCCATCTCAAAAAAAAAAAAAAAATTTTTTTAACTCTTCATTAGTTCAGAAGGATGTTGATGTCATTGATGAATGAGTAAAACTCTAATATATGTCTTTATTGTTTCACTTTCATCTTATTCATTAATGTAATTGAAAATATTATCCACCCTTCATGTTGCTACTACAGTCAGCCCTTCATATACTGTGGGTTCCACATCGTGGATTCAGCCAACTGTAGATGGAAAATATTTTTTAAAATAATAAATAAAAATACAATAATAAAAACACATTAAAAAGTAATATATTATAAAAACTATTTTGTGGCATATTATATTAGGTATTAAAAATAATCTAGAAATGACTTAAAGTATACGAGAGGATATGCAAAGGTTGAGTGCAAATACTTCATTTTATACAAGGGACTTGAGCATGGGAGGATGTTGCTATGGGGAGGTGCAAATAGCATACTTATTTGCAAATCTTATGACCAACCTTTTTGCTAATTGGATGATAATAATTCATAGTCAAATTTTGTGAAACTGTTGTTGGTTGTAGAATTTTAAAAATTAATAGTGTTTTTTTCAAGAAATAGCAAGTTATATTGATGTTATAGATATAAACTGAAAATCAGGTTAAATGTTTAAGTTTAAAATTTATTTCCAAAATTAGATAAAGAATCACTAAGAGAACTTTTTACATTATTTTTGAATTTTACTTACATATATAAAATTATTTTTCAGATTCTGTTTCCTAAAATGCCAAAACGACAGGGTGATTTTTTGCATTTTTTAAATATGAAGAAGGTGAAAACAGACACAGAAAATAATGAAGTGAGCAAAAATCACTGTGGATTGTCTAAGGCAAAGGAACTACATTTCGAGTATATTGAACAACCAATCATTGAAGAAAAGCCGTCACGTTCATCAAAGGAAGAAATAGATAATCTTGTGCTTCCCGATTGTTGGAATGAAAAACAAGCATTTGTGTTTACAGAGCAATACAAATGGCTTGAAATAAAAGAAGGTAAATTAGGATGTAAGGATTGTTCAGCGGTTCGGCATTTGGGATCGAAAGCAGAAAAGCATGTCCATGTGTCCAAGGAATGGATTGCATATTTAGTAACCCCTAATGGCAGTAATAAAACTACTAGGCAAGCTTCTCTACGAAAAAAAATTAGGGAACATGATGTTTCTAAAGCCCATGGTAAAATTCAGGATTTGTTAAAGGAATCAACAAATGATTCAATTTCTAATTTAGTGCATAAACAAAATAATAAAAATATTGATGCTACTGTAAAAGTTTTCAATACCGTTTACAGTTTAGTAAAACATAATAGACCTTTATCTGATATTGAGGGGGCAATAGAATTACAGGAAAAAAATGGAGAGGTAAATTGTTTGAATACACGTTACAGTGCAACAAGAATAGCAGAACATATTGCAAAAGAAATGAAGATGAAGATATTTAAGAATATTATAGAAGAGAATGCCAAAATCTGTATCATAATTGATGAGGCATCTACAGTTTCAAAGAAAAGCACCCTAGTGATTTATCTCCAGTGCACAATTCAGTCAGCTCCTGCACCTGTTATGTTATTTGTGGCTTTAAAAGAATTGGTGTCAACTACAGCAGAGTATATTTTCAATACATTATTGACTACTTTAAATGATTGTGGTTTTACAAATGAATATTTGAAAGCAAATTTAATTGCATTTTGTTCTGATGGTGCTAATACAATCCTGGGAAGAAAGTCTGGAGTAGCTACAAAATTGTTAGAAAATTTTCCTGAAATCATCATTTGGAACTGTTTAAATCATCGATTACAATTGTCACTTGATGATTCTATATCTGAAATAAAACAAATTAATCATTTTAAAATATTTCTTGATAAAATTTATTCTATTTATCATCAACCTAATAAAAATCAAACCAACCCTCTAGGAACTGTAGCTAAAGAACTTGAAACTGAAATTATTAAAATTGGTCGGGTAATGGGACCAAGATGGGCAGCATGTAGTTTACAAGCTGCTACTGCTGTATGGCATGCATATCCTATATTATATATGCATTTTTCTCATTCTTTCTGTGGTTTGGCAAAGAGATTAGCTAACATTAATTTCTTACAAGACCTTGCTTTAATGATTGACATTCTTGAAGAATTTTCAGTACTTTCAACTGCATTACAGTCAAGATCAACTAATATTCAGAAAGCACAAAAATTGATCAAACGTACCATAAGAGCTTTGGAAAATTTAAAAATTGGTACTGGAAAGTATGAATCTCAAATTGAAGATTTGATCAAGTCAGATAAGTTTAAAGATATTCCATTTAATAAAAACAATAAATTTAATGCTCTTCCTAGGAATATATTACTAGACAATATAATTCAGCACATGAACCTACGCCTTTTATCTGATGGAAACCATGAACGTATTTTTAATTACTTTGATTTGCTAGAACCTTCTACATGGCCTTATGAAGAAATAACTTCACCATGGATAGCTGGTGAAAAAAAATTATTTCATTTGTGTGAAATTTTAAAATGTGAAGTTGATTTGAATGATTTTCGGGAATTTGTAAATAATAATATAAAATCAAACAATGTTTCAATTCCTGCAACTATACAAAAAGCTAAAAAGATAGTTAGCACCATTGCAATCAATAGTGCTGAAGCTGAAAGGGGTTTCCATTTAATGAACATAATTTGTACAAGGGTGAGAAATAGTTTGACAATAGATCATGTGTCAGATTTAATGACAATAAATTTATTGGGGAAAGAACTAGCAGATTGGGATGCAACACCGTTTGTAAAATCCTGGTCAAATTGCAACCACAGGTTGGCTACAGATACGAGAGTTCGGCAAAAGTCAACAAAAGTCTTCCATGAGAATCAATTGGCTTTATGGAACTTACAATAGAATATTGTATATGTTTTTTATCATCTGTAAATTATGTACTGCACATCCTTTATGTACATAAAGGTGTTTTTTTTTTTTTTTTTTGGAAAGCCAGTTAAACTTTTGTCAGCACGTTGCTGTTTAAAAGGCGTTCTCTAAGAAGATAATCTTGAAGATTGGTTTTAGGAGCTATAGGTTTTTAGACATTGGCCCATGTTTCCTAGAATGGGTCATAATACGTATTCCATGAAGTTCTGTACAGAACAAACACTATTTATAATTTTGTACTGTTTTACTTTAAGGATGCAAAAAATAACAGGACTCAGATAAGTTCTAAGCCCTGGAGGTTATATCAAATAAAAGAGAAATGGAATAAAAACTATAAGCCTTTTGGCTCTTGTCTTTCTCATTTCCATATCTTTGCTATCTAGTATGGTAGCCACTAGCTACATGTGGCCGATCAGCTTAAGGACTAAAAGTAAAATTTTAATGTATTTAATTTTACCTAAGAAAACTGAAACGATGTAAAATATTTTTCTGCTTAGCTTTACTGTTTTTCAGGTAGACATTTTACTCTGTTACCTTGCATAAGATATGGTTGTTGTAGTGTGCCTGTCAAACTTTTGTGTCATTTCCAGTATTGAATATAAACATATTGCTCTTAGATATGATACTGCTGTCAGCAGATGGATTCAATGCAAGTTATTTTTTCTATGAATTGATGTAACATCATGTGCATCAGAATATTTTATGCAAAAAACAGGAATTACAGTGATTCCTGTGTAAATTGTAACTGGTAATTGAAATACTTATTTTAATCATGATTAAATTATTTTTCTAGTTTACACATGAATATGAGCAAATTTTTAAATTTAAAATGAAGGCATACTGAAAAAGTATCAAGTGGAGATGCAGAACCTAGTACAACTGGAACAGTAAAGAGACTCGAAGGTATGTTGCAGATTTGACAATGAATGGCAATTGCAGTTTGCTGTGGCAGAGCAAAACAAGCTGCTGTTTAAGAAACAATTAAAGATGAAGTAGGAAAATTGAGACTTCAGCAGATGTAGAATGAATTGGGTAAATTATATTTCATATGCCAAAAAGAATCAATGAAATTAAGTCACCTGAAATCAGAATTAACAAGAGTTTTTAAAAACAATTTTAGAAGGAACTAAAGTTGTAAGTTTGGTCAGATGTGAAATACCTGAGATTCTTTTTTTGTTGTTATTTTTTTCAAGAAGGAGTTTCGCTCTTGTTTCCCAGGCTGGAGTGCAATGGCGCAGTCTTGGCTCACTGCAACCTCCTCCTCCCGGGTTCAAGCGATTCTCCTCCCTCAGCCTCCCAAGTAGCTAGGATTACAGGTGTGGTGCCACCACACCTGGCTAATTTTTTTTTTGTTGTTGTTGAGACAAAGTCTCACTCTGTCACCCAGGCTGGAGTGCGGTGGTGCAGTCTCGGCTCACTGCAACTTCCACCTCCTGGGTTCAAGCAATTCTCCTGCCTCAGCCTCACAGGTAGCTGGGATTACAGATGCCTGCCACCATGGCTGGCTAATTTTTTGTATTTTTAGTAAAGATGGGGTTCCGCCTTGTTGGCCGGGCTGGTCTCAAAAGTCCTGACCTCAGGTGATCCGCCCATCTCGGCCTCCCAAAGTGCTGGGATTACAAGAGTGAGCCACCATGCCCAGCAGAATAGCTGAGATTCTTGCGTGAAAGAATTAGGGTTTTTTTTTGGATGGGAGATGGGAAGGTCTTGCTATGTCACCCAGGCTGGACTGCAATGGCTCGCTGCAGCCTATTCTTCCTGGGCTCCAGCAGTCCTCCTACCTCACCCCTGAGTAGCTGGGAATACAGGTACATGCCACCACACCCAGCTAATTTTCATATCTTTCTGTAGAAATGGGGTTTTGCCATGTTGCCCAGGTTGATATTGAACTCCTGGGCTCAAGCAGCCTTCCTGCCTTGGCCTCCCAAAGTGCTGGGATTGTAGGCATGAACCACCATGCCTGGCTGAGAACTAGTTTTAAATGGATAAATGTGAAATTATTTCAGTTGACGAAATTGTTAGAAAATTATGAGTAAAAGCCTAAATAAGATGTGTTATTAAAAAGAACAAGGCCTTGCCGGGTGTGGTGGCTCATGCCTGTAATCCCAGCACTTTGGGAGGCTGAGGCAGGTGGATTACAAGGTCAGGAAATCAAGACCATCCTAGCTTACATGGTGAAACCCCATCTCTACTAAAAATACAAAAAATTAGCCAGGCGTGGTGGCACGCGCCTGTAGTCCCAGCTACTTGGGAGACTGGGGTAGGAGAATCGCTTGACTCCAGGAGGCAGAGGTTGCAGTGAGTCGAGATCACACCACTGCACTCCAGCCTGTGTGACAGAGTGAGACTTTGTCTCAAAAAAAAAAAAAAAGTACAAGGCTTTTTGTTAAGCCACCAAACAATTGCTTTTAGAATATAGGACCTAGCAATATTAAAGATTAATTGATTCTAAAGCTGAAAAATCATAAGTACATTTCTGTAGTTTTAGAACAGTTTCTTAATTTGAGAAACTACCCAACTAACACACTATGTTGTATCTCATAGGACTTAAAAAGTATGAAGAAATGATTTCAACTGATGGCTTCAAAAGTCAAGTTTATGGCCAGGTGCAATGGCTCACACCTGTAATCCCAGCACTTTGGGAGGCCAAGGCGGGTGGATCACCTGAGGTTAGGAGTTTGAGACTAGCCTCACCAACAAAGTGAAACCCCACCTCTACTAAAAATACAAAAATTAGCCAGGCATGGAGGCAGGTGCCTGTAGTCCCAGCTACTCGGGAGGCTGAGACAGGAGAATTGCTTGAACCCGGGAGGCGGAGGTTACAGTGAGTCAAAATTGCGCCACTGCGCTCCAGCCTGAGCGATGGAGCAAGACTCCATCAAAAAAAAAAAAAAAAAAGGCAAATTTATGCAGCTTTTTAAAAATAATTAGCTTTTAATTATTATTATCATTATTATTATTTTGAGACAGGGTCTTCCTTTGTCGCCCAGGCAGTGGCACGATCTTGGCTCACTGCAACCTCTGCTTCTAGGCTCAAGTGATCCTCCCACCTCAGCTTCCCAAGTAATAGGGATTACAGGCACATGCCACCACCATTGGCTAGTTTTTGTATTTTTGGTAGAGACAAGGTTTCCCCATGTTGCCCAGGCTAGCCTCAAACTCCCTGGTTCAAGTGATCCACCTCCCTTGGCCTCCCAAAATGCCGATAGTACAGGCGTGAGCCACTGCGCCCATCTCATGCAACTGTTTTAAAATCTCTACGCATGTTATAACAGTTTCAGCTAAATGAGATAAAAACTACTTTCTATCGAGCAAGACTCCGTCTCAAAAAAAAAAAAAAAAAAAAAAACTACTTTCTATCACAATAAATGGCACTCCAGCTAAGTTAGGTTTAAAAAAACCAGATTCCATTAGAATTTTAAAACAAACTTGATGTTTCTGTTATTTCTTCATTCCACTAAATGATATGGTTTGACAATATTTATGCTCAGTTTTTTTAAAATAGTCTCTACAACAAATTGTCACTTGTTGGGTACAATTAAGTGCTCATTGTATAAGTGCACATGGTACAAATCAACACCAGCTTATAGGATTGTGGAAAGAATTAAGAGATTAATTTAGTGATCTTATGTACCCTGTCAGTTGGTCATATTGTGGAAGAGCTCTACAAAACTTACTGTACTGTTAACTCCAAGATTTTCTTCCAATAACAGGAATGCTAGCCAGATGTTTAATAATCAAAGACCAAAAATGGCAGTTTAATTTTTCTACCCAATATCCTATGGCATATGAATGATCTAAATTTGAAGCTCCAAGGATAGGAAAAAGCTTACATGTGCCTGTCCTAGACAAGTACTAGAGTTTATATTGAAATCAAAACTTCTAAAAATAAAAATCAGTAAGATTAATTTTACTCATTTTTCTAACGAGTCAGTATGCTTGAATTTTTCATTGTATTTGATAATGTCATGTAAATTTACTGTAAAAACTAAGAAAAAATTTTAAAATGCATTATTGATTAAATTTAGGGTTGCTTTTCAGTATACTCAGTAACTCTGAAGTCAGTGTTAACAGTACTGAGCTTACATAAGATTTATTGAATTTACCTAACTTAGGCAAATGTTTTCCAACTGATATGCTTTTGGTCCGAAGTCAAATCAATTATTTTGAAAAAGATAAATGGGATTTTTTTTAGTGTGGATATGAAAAATAAAAGAAAATGATAACTATGTTTGGAACAATTTTGGTTTGTGAGTCTACTTTGTCATCTGTGAATTTTATGAAATGTATATACACATCAAGTATGATGAAAACAGGAATTGAGATGTGCCTTAGGTGTGAAATACACATTAGATTTTAAAGACCTAACGTGCAAATTACCACATTTAATAACTATGTTGATAGTATATTGAAATAATATTTTGGATATATTTGGTTAAATAAAATAATCACTGTATTTTAGAATTACATATGTGGGCCAGGCACAGTGGCTCACACCTGTAATCTCACACTTTGCGAGGCAGAGGTGAGCGGGTCATGAGGTCAGGGGATCGAGACCATCCTGGCTAACATGGTGAAATCCCATCTCTACTAAAAATATAAAAATTAGCCGGGCGTGGTGGTGGGCGTCTGCAGTCCTAGCTACTCAGGAGGCTGAGGTGGGAGAATGGCATGTACCCAGGAGGTGGAGCTTGCAGTGAGCCGAGATCACCCCACTGCACTCCAGCCTGGGCGACAGAGTGAGACTCCGTCTCAAAAAAAAAAAAAAAAAAGTACATATGTGGCTTGCAGTATAGTTGTATTAGACAGCACTACCCTATATGATAGTTATTCTCAAAACCAAGTTTCACCAATCTAGACCTTACTGTTGACTTCAGGATCCATAGTCAACTGTCTTTTCATCAGTTTCACATTGTTGTTCCATAGGCATCTTAAACTGAATAGGTCCAAAGCTGAATTTATTCATCCCTCATCATACCTGTTTTGAAAAATGGCCCAACCATTTCCCTTGATGCTCAAACTAGAAATGTAGAAGATATTTGAAACCTTTTCTTCATCCACCTTGCCCTGTCTCTTCCACCTCTCCTACTGTAGTTATCTTGGTTCTTGGTTCAAGTCGTTATTTTTCTTGCTTAGAGTAATGTAATAACTTTCTAACAAGTCTGTCTGCCTTCATTCTTGCCCCTTGTTAATACTAACATATCCTTCACACTAAGGATTGACTATTCAAAAGTTTACATTTATTTTTATATAACTTTTATTAGGAAGACATTCAGACAACTAGATCTAGAGATGGCTACAGTCTTTGCTTGAGTAGCTCAATAGTGTCATTG